TTAGAAATCTTTAATATAATTACTTTTATTACTTAATAAAGTTTCTACTTTGGCATAACAAAAAAAAAAAAAAAAAAAATAACTATTTTTTTATTATTCTGTAAAATAGTCATTAATCTTACTTTGCTGTTGCCAGTTCATTTTTTTTTTTTAAGAAATTTTTCAATTTTTTTAACAGTCTTAACATACTCATTTGCTTCATCTTGTTGAAGCAAAAACATAGACACAGTCTCCAAGCTTGTAATCACCGTATCGATGCTAATTAAAGGGATTTCAATGCTGTCATCATCTCCTGAATCATCACAAGCTAAATCGACTGGCTTGAAAGTTTTTATAAGTTCTTCAATAACTTGGTCATTCATGGGAATTTCGTAAACAACATCTTCTGCAGAGATAGAAAGAAACTCTTCAACTGGCATTGGGTTATCAAAGTGAATACAGAGGTCTTCAAGTGTATTGGTAAGATCATCAAGTGCCAGATCCATAGTCTGATAAACATTATCTGTAATGCTATATAATTTAGCATTAGTATCAATAAAGAGGATATTCATATGACATCAGCAGTTACGAATTGTTTTAGCAGCGACTTCATCCCAGCCTTGAATGATAAAACATATAGCTTGCAATATATCTATTTTTAGTCCATTAGCATGTTCACCCTTTTTTACATGCTCTAATATCCAGTTTAAAAAAAAAAAAAAAATGTATGTAAATCTTATTTGCAAAAACAGTTATAATCTTACTGAATATGAAGATGACAGTAGTGTCTCTTGAAGCTCATTATGATTCCAGCATCTAGTAGTTGGATTCTGAAGATTGCTCTCAAAGAAAGAAATACAATATCAGTGAATTGTAAAGTAAGGCTATCTAATTTATGGTTTGAACAATTATTGAGAACCAATAGTACATGTTGACCCTGATATTTTAAACTGACTTGACAATTGAACTCTTAAAGCCATGTTTGAAAGAAGGAAATAATCATCCATGCCTTGGCATTGTTTTTATACATAACAGCTAAATTTTTAAGGTTAATATTTTTAAAACAGCATGGTTTGGCATATTTGCCAATTACAAA